TCTCTCTCTCTCTCTCTCTCTCTCTCTCTCTCTCTCTCTCTCTCTCTCTACGTGCAAGAAGAAATGAAGAAGTATGAGAAAGAAGATGCCCTCCAATGGTTGGATGCGAGACCTCTCTAACACAATCACACACATATACAAACACGCATATGGACCCATATGCTCTCGCTCTACATATAAGAAGAAGGGCAAGAAGAAGGTGAACTCTAAGGGTTTGATGTAAGGCTTCCCCCCCCCCACCCCCCGCCATAAAAAAAAAACTCATGCTCTGTCTCTACATATAAAAACAAGAAAAAGAAGAACATATCCTTAACACACACGGACTCATAAATATATAACACACACACACACAAACAGATGCCCCGCCAACTCCAAACAGCCCCATGGGGGGGCCAACCCGAAGTTGTTTCTGGCCACCTAGGTGGCCAGGACCCAAAATGCCTAGGCAGCCGCCTCCGTGTTTTTGAACATGTCGAAGTTGTGCATGGAAAGGGTAAAATATTTAGGTGGTGTTTCAAATCCTGTCAAAGTTGCATGCATGTGAAAGAACTCCACAAAATTCAATCTAGATCAACCATTTAACTGGGAATAATCATTCTCTCTTCACAAACAAACCCAAACATCTCCCAATTCTGGCATAGGGTCAATGTGGTGAATGCGCATTTATTGCAATAAGTCGCAAATGATTCTCAAGCCTCACAGACGTGAAATCGAATGTAAACATGATTTCTGCAAAAATCTAGATTTACATAGATCTTAATTAAAAGATGTTAAATGGGGCTGAAATTGCTCTTGAATTTCTTGCAATGATAAAAGGAGTAAAAAACATCACTTTCAAGGAATCGCAGGTACCACATTTCATGATTATGAACAGTGGCCACATGTAATGATACATTACTGCAAAGAAAAAACACCAGAGATCATATTTCGTATCTCTTCCAAATTGATAATTTGCCAAACACATATTGACTACATATGTAGACCAGTGAGCATATCTGTATCAGCCTATACAGCAAGATATCTTCCTAAGTGTTTTGTGTTTGGGTGTTTTTTTATGATGCCCCATTCCAGGTACATAATCAAAAAGAGGATTTATGCTTAGTTTCATGCTCTCGTTACACATTTCATTTACCCCACACTATGCCATGCATCTTCAGCACCTCATCCCAGAGTCATGAATTAATATGTCAAAAAAATGAATAAAGCACCTGCCTCTCAATGGTGACTACACTCCAGCAAAAAGCAATGTTCCATTACATCCCCTTTAAGAAGGTTTTTATCTTCACTATCTTCTTCCAGTTTCAGCAACCTACATCTAAGGTAATTATGGAGAAGCAACACAGCAAGTTCTGTGCTGTAAAAGCTACTATATCTAGTTTACTTGTATACCATGGGACTTGTGTTTGGTTCTGTTCAATCTCTTCCCATAACAACATGGAAATAACAGTTGCTTTCTAGAAAGTCAAGCTTTAAAATAGTAAAAAATAAATTTTATTCCATGGGACTAGCGTTCAACAGAACTGAACACAAGTTCCCATACATTGTGATCTGTGTCCAAGAGATTTTTGAAAAGCCAAGCTTTTAGAGACCAAAATGCCAAATCATTTACAATATTCTCTTAGACGTCCATAAATAAAGTCTCATTTCCAAATCCCAGAAGTCTTGTTTCTCAATGCAAATATTAGCAGGATTGGATTTCCAGTTTAGTTGTTTCCAGATACTACAATATATGATATCATGTATACACAGATATCACTGAAGGAAGAAGATGAGCTTTAAAATAGTAAAAAAGAGATATACCTTCAACTCCTTCTTCATGGACCTACTTAATGCAGTTAGTGCAAAACCAGAAGAACCGGATGTAAGGTAAGGTCTCCTGTAAACCATAGCATCCTCTTCTTTCATTGCATAAGGCCCACAGTTGGTCAAGGGCTTATCACTCGCTCTAAGAGGATCCTGAAGAGACGGAAGAAATTCTTCCACCATCAGACCCCAATTTACAAACCTCAAACAGGCAATTATTAGACTATGAATGAGTTAGCACCATAAAACTCTGAAATCTCAAACCTGGGAAAAGATTTCACCCAACAAAAAATTGCTGAATGATGACAAGGTCGATGGCAATTTGGCATGTTTATCTGTCAGCTTTATGGCAACCAAAAACTTAGTAACTTCCATGTCTAAGACACAAATGCTCTTGAGTTTAGAAAGACAAACAAATTCATTTTGCGTGCTAATACAATAATTAAAAAATGACGAGAGCAAAAAATTAACTTTAACATAATAGCATATGGTATTCCCAAACCGTGATATCCGAATAAGTGAAACAATGATAAGAAAATCTAAATTCATTAAGAGTATAACATCTAACTAAGCACTGAATCTTTAGATGTCGAGCATTTTCATTGTCATTCAAGTAAAAATTTACCGGAGGATTAACAAGTATGAGATTCTTCACATTTTCTTGATGGGAATAAACATATTTGACAACAACTGGAGCAAAGTATCCCTGCAAGTATCAAAATAGTGGGTTTTTCAGCCACATGCTGCACTAGATATATCATAGATAAACAGAAAACTCTCAATATTTACCTGGACGACCAGTGAAACATTACCTGCAACAAATTCACTTAGAAGAGAATCCAGTGAATCAACATATTCTGCTAAAGCATAATGCCAATACTAAGCACCAAACGCAAATCATGATTCATGAGATAATAATATAATGTAGATAAAACTCAAGAACGCAAGCTACCATTCAAAGTGTAATCAAAACCATATTTTGGTTGAGGCTTGTCTGAAAATCCAAATCCTGAAATAAAGAATCTTCCGTTAAAGTATTGTGACAAACAAGATCAAACGGCAGACAGGAGAAAATGAGGTTATCATTATATACTAGGATGCAGCACAAAACCACATAGCTTGTGGAAAAAGCAAATCAAATGCTTTTGAAGGTTACTTCAAGAGAAACCACCCCTAATACCTTGCTTTCCAGCAAGATCAAGATAACCAAAGCAGGTATCCTTACTCAAAAAGAGACTAAACCCATTTGTGGGATTTTGAGAGAGCGAAGGATATGCTCTGCTTTGGTTCACAAATTTATCAAAAGGAAATTATTTTGCTAACGCCTTAGACATCAACACACATATCACCATGCAATCTCACTATTTCCATGAAAGACTGGGCAAACTAAATGTTAAAAACATGAATTATTGGTAACCATTATCACATTGGCAACCAAGCAGCTATATATAGTAGAATGTGTTAACTCCTTCAAAACATTCAACCAAGAAATACAGAGCATATTGACCCAAGAAAAATAAAATAAAACAATCATAGAAAAGAACAGCAATCATTTAAGATGAAGTCTGCAATTAGGCATTAACCACATGAGGTAGGGGACCCAACCCATTTTTAACTAAATGATTAAAAACTCACCAAGCCAATCAAAAGCAACGACATGATAGTCAACAGCAAGGATAGGAATAACTTTTCGATAAGAGTATGCCTGTCAAACCAAATTAAAATCACACTAATTAACATGACTATCTCACTACAGTTATTTCCATTGGTTGCCCACTAATTTTAAAAAACACTTAATGGTAAATAATTGCAACATAGAGCAAGACAACATATAAAAGGGATTAAAATGAATCATTATTTATTATCCAAAAATCGTTCACTCCAAAAACTATATAGGGAGGCATTTCTAAATTAAACGGGCCATACCAAGCGTGGCACATGACTAGAGTAGAAACTGGAGAGGTGTTCACCCCAAAAAATATATAGGGAGGCTCTTCTAAATTAAATGGGCCATACCAAGTGTGGCACATGATAAGAGTAGAAAATGGAGAGGCACATATCAATGCAAAAGCTTTTTGCATTAGGCCAGGGGGAACAAGGACTGACAATGAATAAGAAGCAACTGCTTAACTTCGCTCTTAAGAAGGCAATATAGGCAACTAGCAAATCCCTCTAGAAGAGTAAGTGCTTTGATGTACAGCCTACGAACACCTCCCCATGTTAGGCACTCAATACAAATCCGACACAAAGCAACAGCAAAATTTTAACTATGGTTCATAAGAAATCAAGCTGATAGATGAATTGCATGCAATTGTTTCTTTACCCATACAGCCGGCATTTCTAGACAGGCTATTGAATCACTCCAAAGACCACTTAGAAGGAGATGTTGAAAGACCTAAGCCTGCTCAGACAACTGTATCTTTATTTACACAGAAGAGTGAATCCAACTGCGACTTAGGGGGATGACTCACAAAGGGGCATTTGCCTTGCATCCAGACAAGGTACTATCTAGAATACGATGCCAGGACTTGTTTCCAATGGTATTGAAGTAAAGTAGTACTAAACTTTTAGCCTAACAATCTAGTGTTTTTACTCAAGTTGATTTTCATTAGAGGTGCTAATCTGGTGGTTAACAATCAAGTATTTAAGCACAACTTACAATTGGAACTTTTTTTATGTTCGCAATGGTAAGCATAAATCATCAACTAGAAGGAAAGCAACCCCAAAACAAAGTGCAATTATATTTTGTTATAGTATAACAATACAAAAGAAAAGAAAAGAAAGCAATACTGGAAATTATAAGATTTCTTATTAAGTTTTCTATACCATTAAATGCAATCCAAGAGGGTCCTTTGTGACCCAGAATGTTTCTAAGAAATCAATTTGGGGGACAGCAATTTGGTTAGAAAAATTATTGCATGGAACGCAAAAACTTTTCTTTTTGAGTAGGTAGTCGGTGGATATGAACAAGAAATATGATGCTGCAATTGTCAGCACCCAAGATTCGAGCACATAGCCCAATCCCATATAGGTCATTCTAGTTAAGCGTACTTTAAGGATATTATTAGGAATGATGTCTCTGAGGAGTTTCATAGGTGCAAGATGACATCTAGGATTAATGCCACACCTCTTATGGATGGAATGGTTGACATCAAGAATTTCAATGGTTGACGTCAAGAATTTCATTCTAAAAAGTGTAGTTGGTGCGATTTATAAATGTATCAGTAAAGTTATAATAAGGAGGTTGAGGGATATTATTCTAACCATTATATTTCCAGGTCAAGTAGATTGTGTAAAAGTAGATAGAATTTAAATGAGGCTTCATTTTTGCACAAGCCAATTGATTAATGGCACAATATAAGTTTGTTGTTTATAAGTTGATTGTAACAATGTACAATATCACTTTGCTTGTAACTTTTTAATGTGCTTAGGTTCTTGTCATTTCAGGAGCATTTGATTCAAGCAATATTTTATTCTCTTTCATCATTAATGTACTTGAGAGGTCTAGTTTAGAAGTTCCAGGTGCCTTGGGAAAGATCCCTGTCCACCTTTACCTTTCAATATCATGGGAAGCCTAACATAATGAGGAAAGGCAACTCCATGACAGGGACTCGACCTTATGTTAACTGTTTATAGGCATCCCTGCAAACGATAATTCAGAAAGCCTTTTATGGAGGTTGAAATGGGAGTTAAGAATATCAGCGTCATTCCCCGTGTTGCTGGAGAGACCATAGAGGACTTCCCTCGACATAGATCAAAAGTCCAGTTGGATTTGCGTGAGACTATTTTAGGATTGTATTTTATATACTAGTAGGTCACAAATGCATAACAAAGTCCCAAGACTATCATCATTAAAATTATACCACTTCATAGCGTTCCAATTATTTACGAAAATAATAATTAGGGGTTCATAAGAATATCAAGCTTCATGCACACACAGATACACTCTCCAGTGTATCTCAAAGTTTCAGTTGGGTTGACATGTTGTACAAAAATGTCACCTGTGATGGGAAACCATGAATCAATATAACCAGATGCTTGCCCGTTCTTCCACTCTCAACAGAGAACCATCTATTACGCAAAACCAAAACATATAAAACATGCATCAGCTGGCAAAGTCCAAAACCCTCATCCAAAATAGAAAGAAATCCACCATCAATACAAGTAATTCAGTTATAATTCCATATCTCACCTATAGAATTCCTGATTAAAACTTCAAAAAAGAGCCAGATCTTGCATATAGAGTCCTAAATCATTGATTCACCTGAAAACATCAGAAGAGGCCTGAGAACCCACACCCATTGTAAGACCAAATATCGGATCCTTTGCCTTCTCACCAGTGCCAAGAACAGGATGAGCTTTAACCTAAAAAAAACAAAAGAGTTATCCAATAATATTATGAAAAAACAAACGACTTCAAAAATAAATAGTATAAATGAAACTTCAGTGCCATGTACTACTGGTTCAAAACATGAAAAGCATTGAAACAGGGGCATCAAAATCATCATTAACTTGATAAGATGCTACACATGCTTGCAAGAATGAATTAGTTTCTCCACTTTTTCAGTCGGTAAATAACATAAAAATCATAACTCAAGGCAAAAACTACACTTACAATCTTCCCTTGCTTAAACCATTCATCTGAGAGGCTCGGCGCATCCGAATACTTTCCTGATGCAAAACTAACAGATTCAAGATAAGCGCTTATAATTTCAATAAGAAAACAAATCATGGTGTTAATTAGAGAAGCAGAAGAGCAAGAAAAAAAAAACCGAAAAAGAATTAAAAGAAGAAGAAGAACGAGGAGGAGGGGAATCACATGCATGCTAAATACAGAGTAACATACCTATTACTGAAGAAGAACAAGAAGAACACAAGTCAAACATTACTTAATATCATCAAATAAACCAATTCAATGCAAATGACATTCAATTTTACTAAAATAACAAGACCATTAAAACTTTGAAAGTAAAAGATACTCCCCAAAAAAGAAAAAGATAGCCATTTTCTTCTAATCCGAAAAGCCCATGTTGTGAGAGGCGACATACCTCCGCTAAAAGAGAAACCATCACCGACAGAAACAGGAGCATCTATCAAGTATCCCTGTGAATAAAAAGCAATTAACAGACTAAATAGCATGAAAATACATCCAAAATTTCATAAATTCAAGCCTCATTTTCCCAAACGAAAACCAAAGCTAACAAAATAATTTCAGAATCCTCGCAACTGAAATTCATTCAATCAAGTAGATTCATGTAATTCTTCAATCCCTGCAAAATTGTGGTTTTATTGATCGAAAAATGGAGAAGACCTCATCTTCTTCTCCAGTTGCCCTTGTATTGAAGTTGCATCTTTTTGCTAAGATGTTCCGAAATCTCGAAGGAGAAATGTGAAGGGATGAATACTTGGCAGTATGATTAATGAGGGGAAAAGGAGACAGAAGTGAAAAAGTAGATGAGATGACACCTTCCATGGCGATGAGGGGGATGCAGAGGAGAGAGAGAGAGAGAGAGAGAGAGAGAGAGAGAGTAGTTAGTTAGTGTGGTACGTCCGTCCGCTACGTCGTACCCTACCCGTCGACGACGACTCTTCCTCCTCACCGACCGACCGACGACTACGTACCGGACGTAATAATAA